AATCTCAAGGACAACTTGCGTTCACAAAAAGCTTTCGGTAAAGGCAAAGAGGGGGAGGCAACTTTGCGAAGTTTGGCCAGCACCTTCAACTTAGTTACTCCTGGTTTGGAAGCTTATGCCAAAGCTTTCCGCAAGTACAGCGAGTACTGGATCCCGCAAGCAGAGCCCAAAGGGTTCTTCGATCCTTGCAGGATCTTGGCTTGAAACCTCAGACGACGAGACCGAGCTAAATGCTTGAAAAACACCGTCGTTTTAACGCGGCGAGGCCTCCTACTACTACTACTACTACTACTACGATGACGACGACGACGACGATGACGACGACGACTACTACTACTACTACTAATGGCAGGAGTAATAATAGCAGCCAGAGCCGTGATTACCGAACCCCATTGCTGTGTGTTTTCTGTGATGTTGAGGAGAGGTTTTCATTGGCAGCGGTCGGGAGGGTCATTACGCCGGAAAGACGCGCGGTGGACTGCGCTCCACTTCTGGCTCTTGGCATGTCGCAGGTTCCGCCCAGCAGTGCCGAAACTTGACAGGCGTGGCACTTTTGGGATGCCTAGAGCATCCATGCCCACACCATTTCCTAGAGTATCCGTGCCCAAACCACAATAACCTCAATGGTCGAGAGTATCCGATTCGTGGATCATCCATCCCCAAACCAGAATGACGTCCATGGCCATGGTCGAGAGCATCCCATTCCTGGAGCATCCATGCCCAAACCAGAATAACGTCCATCTCCGATGGCAGCAATTTCGAAAAAAGAAAAAAAAAAGAACAGCAACAAAGAGCACTGAAAGTACTGCCTGCAAAGGTCAGCGGTTTCGGGCTTGGGTAGGAAGTGTCTTTGCAACCAAGTCCAAACAGCAAGATGCGGAAACTGGCATGCATAGATCTTTCACAAGCACCATTGTGCGTTAATCGCGCTCGCCCTTCTTGAATTGCGTCGACCCCAAGAGCCAAAAACGAGCGCGCCACCACGATGTTAGCTCTCTCTCTCTCTCTGTCTCACTCTCTCAATTTCAAAGATCGGTTTTGAGCAGTGGCAGGTAGTGGCAGGATCAAGTAACAGACAAAATATGTCTAAACAGAGAGGTCTAGGCCCTACACCCTAAACCTTAAACAAAGCTCTAGGGACTTTAGCGGCGCACTTCGGTCAAACAGCTTGAGCGGGCCACTGGCCACCCGGGGATCGAACTTCCAGCGCCGATCTTTTTTCTGAGTTGCTGGTTAAGGGTTAAGAGTCAAGCATCATGTGCAGAGGTACTAGACAAGGGTGGGGTGAGGAGCTATATAAGCTATAGTCTAAACTCCAAGTATTCCCCTTTATAGACCGTATATAAATCCCTTACATATTCCCCTTAATAATCCGACATCCCAATGAACGATAAGCCCCTCGGTGTTCCGCATGTGAACCCCCTCAAGCCTGAAACTACAAAAGGATGGCTTCAGAACACTGAAGAACTAGATTAGCCCAGTTTCTTGGGGGCAGCTCGCATGCAAATAGACACGGCCAGTGTCGTAGTTATAGTCCATGCATTCCTTTCCATAGCGCGTTCGGAAGACCTTGCCATCGAACCGCCATTGCTGGTGGCCTTCACCATGGCACTCATGCCTTGCTTTCCAAACAGCCCAAAACAAGTTACAAATGCGAAGCAAAAACACTCCGCACGTGAAACTTTGCACACAACAAATCGAGGTGCATGAACACATTGCCCCCAGTTTGAAAATAGTCCAGGCATCTGTCGTCATACTTGGACTTCAATGCTGCCCCGTCAAAATACCATGCCTGCTTGTGGCCGCCGTGGCACTCGGCGACGAGCAGGTGCCCACCTTCTGTGTCGTAGTCTAAGCACTTTTTTGTCTCGCCGTACTCGAACATCAATGGGCCACTGACAACAATGTCGTCCGCACAGTCGTGGCACTCCTACAACATTCCGAACTAATCCCTTCCCCCAAGACCAAGACCCTCCAAACCCCTTCCCTGCAGCCTAAACTCTAAACCCTCTTCTCCTCCTTCTCGATGTTCTCCGTGGGCATATCGGGCAGCTCCAAATCCGCGCAACTCTCCTCCCGGAGTTCATCCCACAAATCCAAAGCACCCGTGGGGTCCAGGAGCTTCACCTGAACTGTAGTCTATAACCTCTTTTGAGGAATTTAGATTTATAGCTCAACTTGGGTTGAAGCAGGGTCTATGGGGCGGGTTGGGGTCTAGAGCCCTGAAGGGACATTTGCATAGCTTCTCTGCTGGGATCTTGTAAAAAAAAAGGCTCATGCTTGAAATCAACGGTGTCAGACTATGAAACCTCATCCGCAAGCCACAAATGCTAGCAGGCGGCGCTTTCCTTCAGCCACTCTGCCCCCGCATTTCGTTTCTCCTCCACCATCGTCGCGAAATCCAGGGCACCGCCCATCAAAATAGAGTCGGCGAGAGCCTCAAGGACTTCCTTGGCAGTGTCCTGCACAGGATCCACACAAGCACGTGATTGTGACCTAACAAGCAAGAAATCATCAAAATGACACAAGGAGCAGAGAAACAGTAAAACCTAGGGAAGAAGGGGTTTGGGAGTTAGAGCCTGCCCCGTCCTGGAGGGCCTCCTTTACCGCGCTTTTCCGGAACGTTTTTTTCATCAAGCCTGATAGCTTGCTCTTCACTTGCCTGACGATTTTCTTGGCAGCCTGCTTCACGGCTTTCTTGAAGGCCGCCATGGCTACTTTCTTCCCTGCCTGCATCGTCAGATAGCGGATGTTGTCCCCTAATTAACTCCCCGAAGCCCTAAACCCTAAACGCAAACCCTATAAGCCCTACAAACACCCAGTGCCGGAACCCCAAACCCCTGAACCCTACCCGCCTTCAAGGCAATACGCCCAGCCCGGAAGGCTGACCCGAAGGCTGGGACAGCCCCTGCCATGGCCACCAAGTTCATGGCATGCTTCGCAGAACAGCCCCACTGATCCTTGAGGGTTTAGGGTCTAGGCTGTAAGGCTTAGGAATTGCGAATTAAGGTTTAGGGTTTAAGGATGAGGGATTTAAGGGTTAGGCCCCGAAAGTTTAGACACTGATCCTTGGCGCAGTAGCGCCCGGCAAAGCCGCATGAGTAGTTGTAAACCTTGAAGCTGTCAAAGTCGCTGCAGGACTCGCCCTTCCAGGACAAGAGAGGCAGCGGTCTTGGCTTTTTCTGGCAGACGTCAAAGGACATCATGGAAATAAACTTCATCGCCCACCTCTTCTGGGCCACGTTCTTTTTCTTCTTCTTCTGGGGTCCCTTTACGCTGCGCTGCTTCCTGGGGCTCGTTCCCTTTGGCTGCTTGCCCTTGGATGGACTTTTGTCCGGGCGTTTGCGGTCTTGTTGGCCGTTGCCTCTCCGGAGATCGCACCTCTTGCACGACGTTTTGTTCATGCCCGCTCTTCCTTTCCGGCCCTTGCCCGGTCTTGTTGGGCGCGGCTTCTTTTTGGCAGAAGTGGTGACACAGGAGGCTTGCGCACAAGTCTCGCTGTCCTGGTCATCCTCCTCGTGGTCCTCCTCCTCGTCCTCCCACGACTCGTAGGCAGGCGGAGGCGATGGTGAGTTCCACAAGTCCTGAATTCTAGCCCATAGAGCTTGCACGCCCGCCCGAGTCGTGTTAGCTGCCTGCAAACGAAGCTGCCTCTCCTTTTCCTGCTGCATGCCTTTAGAGGAAAGGTGCGCATCCAGCGTAAATTGAAGGTAATGCTTACTCTGAGCTTGAATTGACCATGAGCCCAAATTCCATCTCTGTCTCCCCTCCTCCATGTTGAGCGTGACTTCCGATCCATGAAAGCTGCAAGTCAGTACCTCTCTCACGGCGCGAGGAGTTGGCTTTATATACTCTACAGCATCCAGAGCATATTCCGGTACTCCTGGCGATCGTGCTAACTCATTCATTTCCTTTGTAGTAACCCAATCAAGCCCGCCCTCTTTTTTGGGCCGTGCTTTCATGTTCATGCCAATCCACACCACTTGGATCGTTTTCGCTGGGCCAGTATTGAAGCCCTCCACCACCCAATCAAGCTCCTCGTGACAATTCTTGCTCTTCAGCCACTCTTTGTCAATGAGAAACACCATGCGGTTGACTTGCGTAATGAGGCCTTGGTAGTACTCCTTCCACTTCACATGCCGCGACATTGTCAGAACGTGAGCATGCTGCCGAAGTCGATATGCACCATGAAGGGTCGGAAGTACGTTGGCATCGATGTAGGGTTTCAAACCTTTCTTTTCGAGATCCTTTGCCAAGGCCTGGGCACGGGAGAAGCCTGAGGGGCGCGCACCGCGCGCACCGAAGCTGATCAAGGTATCGTATGTAGTCAGCGCTTCCACTTCAAGATGGTCAGCGAAGAATTTCTCTGCATCATCATCTGACTGGAACCAGGCCGGTAGGCATCGACTGGAAGGCTGGCCCACCTTTTCTTTTCCCGTGCAAAACTGGTTGTTTTCCAGTGTGATGCCGAACTGCCTTCGAAAGTCTCTTCTGCACCATTCTGTGCAATCGTACTTCTTCCATTTCGGCTCATCTCCTGAGGCAACCCGTCGGGCCTGGAAGAGAAGGCTTGAGAGACACACCAAGAGCACTTTCCCGGCTGCTATGGAGCGATGGACGTGGCCGAGGGGTTGGGGGACGCTGAAGGCCAAATGGCTGCCATGACCCGCACATGGACACACTAGCCAAAGAGGCAACAAGGCATCAAAAGCCCTAAAGGGCTCCAAGTTCATGGGCAGTACCACCTGAAGTGACCTTTAGACAGGCCAAGGGCTGCTGAAGGCTCGAGCTATCTTGAGCTTTAGTTTTTTACTGTGCTGTCTGCATACTCCAGGTCCCACAGATGGGGACGTGTATGTATAGTTCCCGGAAATTCTCCATACTGCTCTCAAGTAAGGCGGGTGGGGATGCAATTTACCAGAAACCTCTTATTTACTTTGCTATTTCTGAGCCGTTACCAGCGTCTCGAACTACGAACTAGCACGGCATGGAGCCAGATCGCAACACATAGACAGTAGCTACCATAGGTTTGCATGCCTGCTTGCAGGAGAATACAGCATCTGTCGAGAATGAACGGACGGAGCCCAGTGCCCCTGGCCTCTTTGAATTCTCCTTCTTTGCGTCCTTTTTCGGCTCGTCCTTTTTCTGATCAGACTTGACGCTCACAATGGGAAAGTGCAACTTGTCCGAACCTGAGTCCCGGCCACTGACATCAGCACTACCTTACGTAAGAAACGCAAGCACGGCTGGCAACATCATGCTACCTCGTGGGTGATCTTCTTCTTCTCCCTGTCAATCAGAAGAGGGAGGAACTCTCAGGTTCTTTGGCTGGCGCACGGCATCTTTGTAACTTCAATCTTCTGCTTCACTTTTCTCCATTGTCTGCACCTGACCGTGCATCTGAGTGAACCTGCATATGGTACTACGGCCTTCGCACCAACCACACCTCTGGGATGAGATCCACTCGGACGCCCAGCTTTGAGCTACACCTCACTCATTGGCTCACTCTGTGGCTGCACGCAGCTGACATGCCAGAAGTGACTGGGTTGCTGTTAAGGAACTTAAATTAAGTTACCATAATGGGTATATATAGTAAATAAGAGGGTTTCCCCAATATAGTAACTTAAATCCAAATTCCTTAACAGCAACCCAGGTGAACGGCGGGTACCTCTCCCAGAGCAAACCAACATCGCCAGGCTCATCCTTGCAGAACTAAAATACAATTTCAGCAACTGATGCATGGAATGGTTCTTCAGACTTCCAGATCGCTTGACGGATGAGGAATACTTAGATCTTCTAGTATAGGTCTAAGGGGACTACGGAAGTTTTCATTTCCTTTTCATTATCCTCAAAATGCAATATGGTAGTTTCCCAAGATAGGGGGACCCCAATATAGACCCGAAAATACTATATTGGGACCCCCAAGAAAGGTACCCATAATTTTCAGAAACCCTTAACCCTGAACCCTAAACCCCAAAGCCTAAAGCCTAAACCCACAAGCCTAAACCCTAAACCCTGAACCCTGAGCCCTAAACCTAAACTCTTGGGATCTCTTGGGGATATATTTTGGCATCCCGCAGCCTGGTCTGCAGAGCAATGTCCCGTCCCGGAGAAGCATGGAGAGGACTGGCCATGACTGCAGCCTGCCATGACTCAGCGTTTGGGGATACTGGTGGTTGTCAAAATTATGGTCCCTTTTTGGGTACCCTAAATATTAGGTGCCGTATTATAATGGGATACCCAACAAAGGACCATAATTTTGACAACCACCCTTATAGGGGTATATAGGGATTCTACAAGGGGGCAGCGAGGGGTTATATAGGGATGATGGAAAAGAAAATGGGAACTACTGTAGGGTTTAGGGATGTAGGGTGTTGATTCAGGTTGTCTGACTTCTCCTCACGCATGATTAGCTGCTCTCAAGGCTTAGGGGTTTGGGGTTTATGCTTCAGGGCTCAGGGTTTGGGGCTTTAGCTTCATGGACGAAAAGGAAAATGGAGGGTCCCTACAAAAGGATGTATGGCATTATACTCTGGTTGCCTACGGAGTAAGAAGGGAACACTTAGAATTAAAATCGATTTTTTTTTTTGACACGCCTTTTTCCGGCTGCAGGAG